CTCTCGTTACTAAGCCTTACCTTGATGAGAGGGAGAGGATCACTGCAGACTTACAACGGCGGGTGGCCGAACTTGGAGAACAAATTGAATACGAACTCAAGTGAGCAGGAAAAGTGTATATCATTGTATTGTTTCGCTAAGTGATGAGAACACGTTATCGTTACAGCGTGGAAACTGTGTGATTTTGATCGAATTCTAACGAGTCTCATTGGAATTCAAAGAAAGCCACAAGATTTTCTCATTGATTGAGACATCTTCGGTGAGTAATTATTCAATCGTTAATTCAAGAGTTTGTTTCAACGTATCTAGCTCACTTAAAGAGGTGAGAGTGATACACAATGTGTACTACACATATAAACAGATGGTGAACCATTATGCCTTATGATTGTAGGAGTTGATAAAGCTCAAGAGATACCATGGCATGTTGGAGCATCACGTATCGTTATCGTTGCAGGCTCAGAGAGGAGCACAATCGAGACCAGACGCACAGGATGGAGAAGGAGTATTCTGAGTCCACGAGGCAGTCGGTGGCCGAATATGATAAGCTAACCGATGATAAAAACCTGATGCAAGCTAGTAAGTTCTTCGCATGATATAAGATGATGCGCATACTGGAACTTTTCCCCACTCATATTGGCAAATTAAGTGATTGTGAGTCTCGAGGCGCCCATTAGTTTGGTCATTCATAACGGAGCTGATGACCTCAGCTGATAGTATCAGCTTGATACCACACCTCAACCTGAGGTTCTTGTTTATCTTCACATCCAGCTTCTCTCGAATCCAATATCAATTAGAAGAGGCCGGCTCCGAGAGGGGTAGTTCTCCACGCAAAAGTATTCATACTAGGCGAATATTCTCCTGTGGAGCATTCGATTGTTCGCCTTTTCACAGTTCGTGTTGTGAGTGATGTTGTGAATTGCGGAAGTCGGTGGAGACGAGCCTCACTATTTCTTGGTAGATTTCAGTCAGGAGAAGATCGAGTCCTTGCTGAAAGATCGAGCGTCGAATACCAAAGAGATGCAAGAGAGAGAAAAGACGATTGAAGATGAGGAGAGACGAATGGACGAACTGAAGAGGCAGAATCAAGAGTTAGAGAAGTTCAGATTCGTACTCGATTATAAGATGAAGGTGAGTTGAAGTTTGATCATCGGTAGTCGTTATGGCTCGCTGGTAGGAATTGAAGAACGAAGTCGATCCTAAATCGGCTGAAATTGCAACGATGAGGGCTCAGATTAACCTCATGGATAATGAAATCGAAGGGTGAGCAGCGTTGAAAGAGCCCGTTTGAGCTAGCTTCATTATCGATGGAATGTTCGGCTGAGCATCCTTGTTGATTTGATGTTATCAAAAAACTTGATTGTCACACGGTATTTTGGTTGATATCATTGGTATTGAAATTGCCGTGAATTTTTCCAGACTGTTAAGTCTAGGAACAAGCCTCGTCTCACGCGAGGCTTGTGTTCAAAAATTGTTTGTTCAGATGCATGCGACGAAACAAGACGCTGAGTTTGGAGGTTTCAGAGCTGAATATGAAACA